TAGAGTCCTAACATCTAGCCCCTGCAATCCAATCCTATTTGCTCTAGTATTCATAAATATGACTGAAGTTGCCCAAATTGGAGTTGTTGCCACTTGTTCTCGCTCCTGCAGTCCAGTCCTACTTGCTTTAAGAGTACCAAAAGCCATCCAATATGTTGCTTCATGCTGTCCTTGTGAACCTGAGTTCAGAGTCTATCCTCCTCGAGTTAGGAGACTCTTTTGACCAACTAAACTTTGCCAAAGCTGTCTATTGCAGTCGACATCATTTTAAGGTCATTATAGGTCATATAAGCTGTTAAATCAACTGCTATGTCATCAGATATATCTGTCACTGGCCAACTTTGCTTGAAATAGGCCAGGCTGCCTACAAGAACCAGACAGGGCTGAAAAAGGTCTAGATCAGCTTGGTCCAGGCATGAGCCAGAATCAGACTCAAACCCATTTAACTCCACAACTCAAACAAAGGCCACAAAATAGGAAAGGGAAAAGGGTCCACACAGCTCCATCCAAAACTTCAGTTAGCCGAATCCATAAAAGTTTCTGTTCCCATTGGTCCAACATCATGAGATGAGGAGTACTGATCCAGGATGATATTTCAAACTATAGAATTTTTCTTAAGACTACAATCATTGAACCAGTTATCCGTCAAAGTTTGAAATTTGAACAGTAAACTTTTAGAAAAGAGCAATCTGACACAAATCCACATACAGATAAAGCACCGAAATTAGATATTTCAGCATCATAATTCACACAAGCAACAAATAGAAGTTCAAATTGAAAAGGAAAGAAATGATGAAAAAACATAAAAGGCCAATTCACTTTGTTAAGATATTATTGTATAGTATAAGCAAAGAAAATAATTTCTTCAATGTAGTGATTGAATACTTACATAGTAGGACTTCTTGCTTGAGCCTAAGGCCAGAAAACAAATCTCGTTTTCTCCTTAATGATGTACACATACTACTTGTGACAGATTTTGTAATATCCTGTATGTCAGAAATGTACAGATTCTATAATAAAAATTAACTTCACATATTACTGCCAAGAATTACCACATGGACAATATAATAATGCAGAAATTAAAGTATTAGATTTCTTTTATGCATTTCATGTTGGATTAAAGAATAAAACGAACACCACTATGATATTGCTATTTCCGCAAGATTATTTTCAAACTTGCCTGTCACATAGTATTTAATAAAAGAATCTGTGTAACAAAGATTTCATACATGGAAACATATGATAAGGCTGGACAGTAAATGCACATATTGCTGCATCACTGGTGAAAACCCTAGAGACAGTATGTTGGTAAAAACATGAGTGGGGATATTTTTCAAAGAATGAAAAAAGAAAAGTCACTGACAGAAAAAAGAAAAAAAAGCTTAGGTTGGTTAATTTTCTAGATGTTCTTTCATGTAACATGATAACATCAGAGATGACTATAATCAAGCTGTACACTAAATAAAAATGCTTGCATCCATTGCTTTCGGCTTATATCCTAACTTGCTTGTAGAAAAAAAAATGTGTGGTTATAAAGCATTAACATTTTGGCACCACATCCGACACCAACTACCATTAAGACCAGTTGTATGTCGGTAACACCATTGCTTTCAGTATATGAATCCTTGCCAACGGGTTGCAAAGACAGTGCAAGCAGTACCAGCACAATGGCTGGAACCAAAAGGGGGAAATACATAAATAGTTTTTAAATTAATGGGTCAGGCACATTTTGGTTCTAAACTTCAACTTTTATTAATTTAGAACCTGTACTGTGATACTGCAAATCAAGTCCTATGGTCAACTTCTGTCAAAAGGAATACTTATCTGGATTCACCAAATGAACTATGGGCCAGAAAGATTTAAATGCCACATCAAATCCTAGGAAGGAAAAGAAAAAAATGAAGATCACCTCCTCACACCTCCCCCTCCTCTCCAGCGGCCGCCGCCGCTGCCACCTCATCTTTCAAGACACAAATCACTGTCCTCATTGCAGAGAAGGGAAAGAAGGGAGAAGTTGCAGATCATCTTCTCCCTACTCTATTCTTCAAAGCTGGAAACTGCCATCATTCAAGAAGATTGGAACAAGGAGAGGAGCCTTACCCTCTTTTAGATAATGCCCAACTTGAGTCACATCTCATGTGTGGGCCCAATCTATTGCCAGAAGAGGGAGGATAAGTTACCTCTAAGCTTAGCGACACCTATGAGAAAGTGAGAAGAATACAGGGATGCCCAATAGAGAATAGTGGATAATACTGATGGTCAAACAATATGGAGAAGAAATGCTACTGGAACATCCTCCTGCTCTCAGGGTTGACAGGTCATACACTTCAGCATTCCTCAATATTTGTTACAGAGGTTCCATCAAGTCTGTCATGGAAGCTGATGACACAACTTATTGCAACTATCGTTAAAGTAAGTGGACTAAATTCATACAAATTAATGTATCTAAAATGAAATTGGCCTTATAATTCAAGGATCATTAATTTATAAGAAAACACCTTCTTTCAGTTTCAAAGTTGAAGACTCAGTGAAGCTGCAACTATAAATACATTGATTGAGATGTATAGGAGTGAAAGCTGAAACAGGAGGTACCCATGGTGAGCTGAATGATGGGCGGTCACAGAATGAGGAAAGCGGAAGAGGAGAAAGAGGATTGATGTTACCAGTTTTAGGGCTTTCAAGACTTGAAACTCTTGAAGTAGGTTTTCCATTAGGTTTGACTGAATTCAGTGAAAACCAGTCAATCTAAAGATAATGAACCATTTCACAGCATATCACCTGAAACCAACATATCCAACCACCCTGATCTTGGTCCACAATTGCCCTGATATATACTACTTGGTACAAACAAAATGGAAAAGAATAATAGTATCAAGATCTGGAAATAATCAGTAAAAACATATGTTATTTTGAATTAAAAGATATTCAGGAAATAGACAAACATAGGATATGCTTCAGGTTTTATATGTTTTAAGATCAAAAGTCAGAACCCAAACAAAATGAAAGCGATATATTTCAAAGGATTCATATAAATAACAAATTCAACATCGTCAAAAAGACAAAATTTGAAAAGCAAGTTAAAATACTTCATAGTTCATACAATGATAAATGTTAACTTCACCTGGTAGTAACCAGACATAATTTTCAACGAGATGCTCTCATAACACCTACCATGAAATTCTTTCATTCAGGAACAAGCACATGTCATCACAAGAAAATAGAAATTGTAGATAATGCACCAATTTACCAAACTCACCAGTTCTCAAGAAGCTTACTAGGAACTTCAATAAAGTCAGCATCTAATCGTAGTCCAGAAAACCTGGAAAATGTTGCACGAATGCATATATGATGGACCTGATATTTATCATAAAACCACTCTGTATCAAACTATCAGTTATTCTTGGATAAGCAAGGAGTTGTGAAAAAAATTAATGAACTTCGTGCAGTGAACATGGACATAGTCCTTGGATAAATACTACAAACGCTTCAGGTCATCAAGATTTTAAGTGCTTAGACATGCATGATACATCTGCAATTCGAAGTAATCTATGAACGTAAGTATTTTGAAACAAGAAGTCATTTCATGTATGGGTAACAAATCCATGCCTGGACGAATCTATACATACATATACATGACAGAGCACAGGCTCCATGCCAACTGATACAAGACAAACACATGCACAACTGTGTGTCTATACCCTTTGCACAGCATGCGACTTTACACCAGTGCCTAGGCAGACCATCCATCCCAATATGGTTGCAGAAGTCAACACATACCAACATAGAATCAAGTCAGCAAGGAAGTTAACAACAATAATCACTAAATTATTTTAGTACACAAAAAAGGAAGATATATGTTAAGAGAATAATTGTAACAGAGCACTTCCTATAAAATATCAGCACAGCTCATGCTGGTATTCATTGGGAGGCACCTATCATGCTAGCAAGCCAACAAGCATGATTCATGAAAGCAAAACGGCCATCATGAACCCTTTTTTTTTAATTTATAGATATACATGCATCATGACATACTGAGAAGATGACTTGTGCAAGAAAGTGCTACTTAGAACTTAGAACTGTCAAACACCATCAAAAGGACATCATGTATACAGCTCTATTATGATAGCATAATGACCTGTAAGAAAATTTTGGCATCTCATGTTCTTGAACTAAGCATCATCTAAGCAACATTACAAGTAAAGATTCTGCCAACCATCCCAAAGATATCCAGTAAGTCTCCAAAGGTAACATAACAGTTTATTGTCAACCCAAAAATCTATTATGCAAATAACTAGAAGGAGAGGCGTAGTGGACGAGACTCAAAATGCTCAATCCCTAGTGATTACTAATATGCCACTCAAATATACTAGACTATTCCAATTTCATCCATATATAAAGGGCCACTGAGACTGGACATTAAGATTAATTAGCAGTATATTGCTTCAGAAATACCAAGTATGAAACAAACCAAGAAAACAAAATTTGAATAGATTAGTTAAGATCAAATACCACATGGGTGAATTCATGGAAGAAAGTAACAACTTCTGAGAACCGCAATAGCACAGGATTATCATCTATTTGTTTTGGACATTGAGAAAGCAGTAGTGCAACTGGAATCTACAAAGCCAGAAGAAACTTAATGTGCCAAGGTAATAAGTGTGCAGATCATAAGAGACAATTTCATGCACATAAAATGAGAAAAGAAGCATCTATCAGTTATATGACATTTTACTGTAACTTCAGTTACAGTAGCATGCACATGATTCTACAAGCATAAGCAAATTATAGGAAATAACAAAAACATTACCACAAGGAACAGTCTATCTTTTAAATTGGCTATAAAACTTCTGTCATCATAAAATAATGACAATAGATGAAGGAAATAAAGAAAAGATGGCAATCATATTGCAAAATTTAAAACACAACAATGCCACAACGAATGATGCATCTTATAGAATTCACTTTGAAATAATAAGTGGTTCATGGTTATAACTTTAGTGACATTTTTCTTGCATAGTTAATTGAGTCGTAGTTGAGTTTTCAATACAAAATAGCTCTTATCTGGGTCCTAGTAACAATCCAGTTAGATAAAATTTTGTAAAAAAACCTTCTTCAACAGAAATTCATTTGTTACATGCAATTATATTCATGAATGGAAAATGGCTCGATCAAGCCAAAGAAATACGTTCCTCTAGTACTCTCCTTGTTGTGTTTTTCTGTGCTCTCTATTGCTTCAAAATCATCCAACATATATTCCTCCTTGACATCAGATTTAAATAGCAGAAAAAATCTAAATCCAGGGGAAAGAGAGAAGAAAGAATAAAGAAAAGACAGTTTTTTTTTTTTGGCAAAGGATAAATGGTGAAGGTGGGATTCGAGCCCAAGACCTTGCGATATCCTCAAGGTTTAACATATTGGTGCTTTCATGTTGTATCTTGCAATAATTTGAACACCGATCAAACCAGTCAATAAAAAATGAGTAATCTGCAGCAACCACACAAACAAGGAGGTGATAGCGATCACACGAACAAGGAAGCAGCAGCAACAACAACACAAAAGAGGTGGAAACAGAGGAGAGATGTAGGAGGTAGAAGAGGAGAAGAGGAGGTGGCAACTGGGATGGTTGAGAGGAGGAGACAGTGGAGGAGGTGATGGCAAAGGAGGCAACAGAGGAGAGAGAGAAGACAGAAAAAAAAAATTAACCTACAAAAGTTGTCAATAGATTATTGAAACAGAAAAAAAATAGACCTGGAATCTGCAGACGATAGTCATATTGCCCAGACTTACTGTGTGGTAAGTTCACTATTGAATCAGACAGGATGAAATTGCTTAATCCACACACCGATCAGCCATTGGACCAATAAGTTTCAATATGTATTTGTACTAAATAATAAAGATGAAATTAATGACAATGGGATTAATGCCATAGAATATCCTCTTTTCTTAAGATTTAACATATCGGTGTTTCCATATTATACATTGCAATGATTTAAATACCAATCAAACCGGTATGTACCGACCAATGTTTATTGGTCTGACCAAGTACGGATATTGAAACATTAACTTGACCAGTATATATAAGTTCATTTTCTTATTTGTTATTATTTTACTCAATAATACTCAGTGAAACAGGTTGGTATAACGCCCCAGTTCCCAACTAGTCCATAGGTTACCAAATTCATTAGGAACCAGGATTTAAATCCTCAGTACCATGTTGTATTGGGGATACCTTCTACCTATCCAGGCTCCACAGGAAATTAAAAGCTCAAAAGAAAATGTTTATGGTTCCATTCAGTCTCAAGTTCCAAATTTACTCAACAAGAAAACTAGAAAAATGATGTTCAAATACAAAAAAGTTAACTTGCAATAGTACTATGTTCATAATGACCTAAGTCATGCAGGAAGAATTGCATCGGAAGAACAATAATCACCAAATAGTTGAAATTCCACAAAGATAATAATAATAAAAAGGAATCACCAAATAAGAATGATACTCTCAATGCACTCAAAGAATTGCACTTAGATAAGAAACAAAAATGAAAGCTGATATACCTGACGGGTGCCATTAGATGATAAGTTACCATTTTGAAGGGCCAAAACACAAGTATGGGCATATTTTCCTTCTCTACAAAAAAATATATTTCAGTTAAATTCCTCGATTAATTAAGAGGTGAAGATTCTGGGTGACAGGTGACAGAAAACCAACCTGGAATGAATGTCAAGGTAAAAGTAACCCAAAAGCTCATTAGAGCTGACATCAGTAACAGAGAAGAGGCACACAGTTTCATGCCAAACCTCAACATCTTTATTTTCCTCAATTCTTATACCTACAAACAAATTAAATAAACAACCAAAAGGCTTGTTAATCATCATCTGAACAATAAATAACCTATTTTATTCATGAGCAAATTTTGTACTGAACAAAAAAATTTTAAGTACACAGCAGTACCGAACAGATCTTGAAATATCTTAAAAATGCCAGACATAACCAAGTTGACAGGAAAGTATTGTTTAACTTCTCCAAGGTCAAGATCAAGATGCTGTTCCTCGGCCCTTTTCATGTAGTACAATAAATCTTCCATTCCAAAAGGTGAATCCCCATCCTCCCTTCTCTAGATCGCCAAAAATAAATTAGCTACCAAAGTGAGAAGAAAAACACAGCAGCAGAAAAATAATTAAGCCACCTTGAGATCCTTGAGCACATTAAGTTCTTCCATTGCCAAATCACTTAAATTCTCTGAGATATCTTCCAAAAATTCAAAAACCTGAGGTTTATTCAGGAAATTTCATTAAGTTTCTTTGTGCAGATGATTCAACTAGAAAAAAAAAATTTCAACACAAAATATGACAAAAAATGGAACGTGTAATATTGTATGTTGAGGGTCCACGTATAACTTTTCATATGTATGCATAAGTTCTTAAACCTTAGCCAGTGTAAATGTCAAAGTAGAACACCTGTCTCATGGGACTTCAATATCAACGTTAATGGCTACGAGATCAACAGGAAGTGCATATCCAATTGGAACGCAGTGGTTCAAAAAGGTAAAAATTTTCACAATTGTTATTCCCATTGACTTGATTGGGCAAGTCTATTCAAGAAGAAATGCACATTTGCAAGATCAAAGATAACCCCTGATACAGGTTTTCCAAACCAATGATTATATCACCAATTTAACCTTTAGAAGGAGTTCTTTCTAAGACTTAAGAATACACAGAGACCAGTAGACAACATCCAGAAGCACCCCATCACTTTCTCCAAGAATCCTGATCATCTAGATACAACATGCCACTGCAGTGATTGCACCAAAAGTGTCATTCTACGGTGCCCACTATCAAAAAGGTAAGAATTATGTATACATAGGAAGTGCTACCCTTTCCAATCTAACTTCAATGATCTATTGCTTACACTAGGCATGGATTTCCGTCCAGTCCTGCATCACTAATGAAATAATAATATGTAGATTGCCTGTATCAGGTAGTAACATGATGAATGGAAGTGCACCAGAATACATTGACTGGTACAGACTGACTTGGATTAATTAGAGGCTGATACAAACCAAAACAGGTTATTAAAAGTCAATAGGAGCCGGTAGCAACCAGTCCAGGTTGGCTACAAGTCATAGTTAGATAAAATATGTTTTGTTCAAATCAATGGCTATGATGTATAATTTAATATCCAATTGTGCATTACAATTATTTGCCAAACTTATCAAGTCAGTATGTATTTTTTTAAGATATCATGCTCATAATTCTTTGTTATAGTCCTAGATGACATGTATGATTGTTAAATTTATCATATGATATGTTGCTAATCATGATGAAGGTTCCAAATACTAATTGGAATGTGCAAAACAACCAGCATTTACTGCTCCAACCAAGGACCGATACCAGACCATATGGCTCTGTACCAGTTGATACTCATTTTTAATTATGGTTTTAGAGACATCAGTCAATAATAGTAGGTATACCATCCAATATATAATTTAGTAAGATGTCAAAACCGGTATTGAACCAAGACTTCAAACCTTAACAATAATCATCAATTCTTTTTTGTCCATTTTGACCATACCAACAACCATATCAAACTTACCATCACTCAAAATATGGCACTGGTGTCATACTGGTCCAGGAAGGTAACACTATGGTTCTTGTCCACTATAGAGCAATCCTTGGTACTAGATTCTGTAATAGAATGAACAGACTTTCTATAAACTCTGGAACAAGGATATCATATAACTGCATACAAGCACCTCATATCTTGCTTGCAAATATCATTCCAACAAGTTATTATTTCAAAACCAAATATAACTACAGAATATGCTTAAATCAAAATAGGATCACTAGGACTTCACCATACAAAAATAACATACTGATGATGATAAATAATTCTTATAATTTAATATCCAAAAACAATTTTAAATTTTACATGATTGTAGCTAAAAGCCCAAAACTAAATAAATCAAGCACAAACCTTTTCAGATGTCCTGGCCATTCTAGATTCAAGAGTGAATTCAGCATAGTTAGAATAACCAAGCAACTGAGCATATTTATGGCGTATCTGGACCTGATGATTAAACAAGAATATAAAAATCAAAAGTACATATGAATACCACAAAAGTTAGGAGGGCAAAGAACTGCTTGTTTCTTCAGGATGCATAATATAGGGAAAAGCATCAGGTAATATAGATAGTAAAAAGCAAACAAATTGCTGTTGTGATATTCTTACAGCCACTGATGGCAATGAATATAGCCATAGAAAAATATATCTCATATAAACCTCCAATACCAAGATCTAGAGTACAGCCTAGGTCATTCCCATCCAGCTAGCTTGTCACTGATTCTGACATGAAGCCTCTAGAATAGAAAGATGATAAAGTATCATAGACCCAGTCAGGCAGCAATTTGGTCGTTCAATAATTGCAAACAAGGCCATCAAGATCCAAGTTGCATTTAAGACAAAAAACAGATGAACAGAATCTAGTAACCTAGCAAGTTTGGGCAACAGCGAAGGTCAACGGCTGTGAAATAAACAGCCCAAGACAAAACCATATGGACGAGGTAAAGGTGAGGAAAAGAGAGGTGATAAGGAAAAGAGGTAAATAGAAGACAGGGACAGTGGATACTAAAGAGTGAAATTATTTATATGAGCAACATGCATTTTGATTTCACTTTAGATATGTACTTAACTTCTGACTACAGTCAAGCTGATTTTCTAAAGGTCAGAGACTTAGATTTGCTTGAGAAGGACACAACTGAGAGAACAAATAGTTTAAGTTGAATTGAATCAGATCCTGGTTGCAGTTTAGAATCAATTCATCACCTCTGGGGTATAAGAAAAAAAAGAATCCCAAAGTTTCAGACTCCCACATTAAGTCCAAAAAATAGTGACTACATAACAAAAGCCTAGGGTTGCACTTGCCACCACTAAGCTTAACTGTAAAACTATCCCCAGCTTGCCATAAAGCAATGCCAATGTCCAAAGTGTGCTAGATCTTGGTTACTGTTAAATGTTAGTCATATGTTGAAACTTATGGATAATTTCATCATATTCACCATGTTTCATAACTCAGGATCTTCTCCAAAAACCTTGCAGACTGTGTAAATCATGTATGTATGCATATGTTTACATTCTTCAAAGAATATCCATGCAACTATTATGAGTGTGTAACAGAAAAACTAATTTTAGAATATTTCAGATCAAGGAACTTGATTACATTATCCTATGCCGTTTAGATGGAATTCCTTGTCGACGGGAGATCAAAGGTGAACCTAATGGACACCAAGGCTCAATTTGTGTGCATTGCATTTATCGGGGTCTCATAGCTTCAATCTCAGACACCCAAGAGCATGTTCTATGCCTTCCTAAAAAGTCTAGGGATATGGGCATAACTGAGCTAAGTGTCAAGCCTTTTTATGCTCAAGCTTGGCTTGACACTAAATTTCAAGCTTAAAATTTTGATATAGTTCAAGCTTGTAATACACCGAGCAACTTCACAATTTAAATGTGCACTTCTTTGTTCATGCCTTACATGATTTCATTTGACGTTTGATCTAAACTCCTTTATTCATCTCATATTATAAAGTTTGATCCAAACTTGAGCATATTGATTTTCAATTTGCATATTGAACGAAAATATAGAAAAGGAAATACAATTACATTCATTCCAAGTCATAATAATTAGTTTTAAGAAATAGCTAGATCATAAGGTACCATTAATTGAACCTGGCATTATTGCACTTCCATAGTCATAGAACCACTCCTTTTTCACATAATCATACAAGAAAAGGTTACCTATATATTTCGCATATGAAGACCTTAAAAGAACAATGCAAATTCATAATATTATAAAAAGCACAGAAAACATAAAATAGTACAATTATGATATACACACGTGTGTGTGCATGTATACACATTCTTTCAGTTTCTCAGGATAATATATATATATA